GCCTGGCTAGAGCACAGCAAAGATGGAACTTCTTTAAAAATGGGCTGTACTCTCAAATTTGTTGAGCCAGAAGATGCATGGTACTTTCCTGGACCGTGTGGACCACGCCAAAGAGAGAACCAGCCTGGAGCTGTTTAAATTCTTACCCAAAAGGATGTAGTTGAGGGGTATCAGACTGATAAGACTAGATTATGATATGCTGACTGAACACTATTATCCCTGATTGTGCTCATGTGACTAGAAAACCATTTTACACACAGCAGACACAGCAAAAAATCTCTGGCTTAAAATCCTACTATTGCTTTCCCATTGCATGTATGATGAAACCCAAACTCCCTAATCTGGTTAAAGAAACGCTACATGGTTAAACACCTACCTACCCTGCTCAGTCACTTTCTTTCCCCCATGGCAGTCCATCTACTGGTTGCCCCTTTTCCTCTAGCCAAGAAAGCTCTCTGTGTCTGAAACTCTTTCTCTCTTTTTCATGATGGCTTCTACATGCCATTTAGATATCAGTTTAAATGTGACCTCCATAGACACATCTTGCCTGACAAGCCACTCTAAAGCAGTGACCAAGACGCTCTCCCTAAGGAAACATTAGGCAAATTCCTCTTTTCAACTAGATTTCATCCTTGGATGTCCCTAACCTTCCTAAGCCAGTCTAAATGAAGAATCCTACTAAGTGATTTCACACTTCTGATATCTAATCAAGGTCTTCATCTTCCACCCTTAATGTTTAAGCCCTTCTTTTAGCAAGAATCTTGTTAGTCCAGTTCAGCAAGAATCTCCCTATCCTTGACTTCTCCTCTTAAAAATCTTCCATCCACTGACCCCCTCACTCTGATCCTTGACTATAAATCCCCAGCTGTCTTTGCTGTGTTTGGAATGAAGTTCAGCTCTTTACCCAATTACAATAGTACAAAATAAAATTTGTATCACCTTTAACTGGTGTCTGGTTCTGTTTGTTTTTGATAGTAACCACCTAGTTCCCTGGTATCAAAATACCCTATTTGAATTCTCTGCATAGAATTAATCTTATGACATGATTATGGTGCTTTATTTGTTTATACACTAGGATGCAAGGCTTTGGGAAAAGAGGGACATTGTCTCTCTTGATCACTGTTTCATGTGATCAAGATGAGCAGATAGCCTAGAACAAAGCTTGGCAATGGCTACACAATCAAGAAATTTTGTTGGGTGAGACAATTTTCATGGTAGATCTAAAGGAGTATGAAAATGCACACAAGAGAATCCTGAAAATTAGCATATATGTAAGATTTATTATAAAAAGGCAAAAATGAATAAATCAAATATTAAAAGTTGATCCCTCAGGTTTCTTCTTTATATAATGTTGTATTTTCCAAATTTTCCACTATTACCTTTAAAATCAGAAAAATATAAAAAATAACCGAGAAAAAAAGTGGTTTAATGAATCACCATTTTTAGTTGGTTTCAAATGTGTTTCTTAGGGAGAAACCTTTTACTTGCTGGAAGTTTTCAAGATTATTGATTCTGTGCCAAGAAAAAGACATATACAAATATAAAAATGAAACAAGCACATTTTCACAGGGGAAAAAATTGTCAAAAATAGTTATTTCCTTCCTTACGGTTCTAAAACCTAGCAGATCTTAAAACCAAGCCAATAATAAAATAGAGAAAAGGGTGATGAGGATAAGAGTCTGATATTACTTAGATATCATATTACCTGTGTCAGGGAAATCAAGCACAAATGCTGTTTTCCCTGTGTAATCTGATTCACTCATGAGTGCTTGCTAGTGATTCATGTGGTGTTGTTAACTAGTGCAATGATCTTGACAGGAACTGCAGTACTCTGCTCACAATCCTGTGGGTCTCTACCCTCCACTGCACTTGCAGATGTTCACTTATGGCATTTGCCTTTAAAACACTTCTCCTTTGTTGGCTGTTGTTTACTACTTTATGACAGTCACTGTTGTTGAGGTTGTTTTAAAATTGTTCTTTACATGACTAAACACAATACTGTCGGATTATATGGCGTGGAGATTCATCAATTAAGGTAAGATAAAATGAAAACGAACTCATCCCTATTTCTCTCACTAGATAAAAAGCTTTGATAGAATCCACTTACTGGTCTTAGAGCCCTTATGCAGGCCATTTGTTCTCTCTGCCTACAATGTTTTTTTTTTTTTTTTTTTTTTTTTTTTTTTTTTTTCACCTTCTCAATGAAATTGTCCTGACCAACTATTTAAAATTGGAATAACCCAACACTCTGTATTTCCCTGCTCTGCTTCCTATTTTTCCTCAACAGTTATCACAATCTAATATCCAGTACTTTGTTTACCGTCTATCTCCCCCCAAAAACACAAGCTCCATGAGGCAGGGATATTGGTCTGTTTTGCTCCTACTATACAACTTGTTAAGTGAGTGAATGACACAGGTGAATTTGCTAGTGTTATAATTTTTGAGATTATGTCTCATAAGTTTAATCCATCTATGATTTATACACTGAGGAAAAGGAACACTTGAAATCTCTTTTGTGGTTAGAAATGGGTCCTAGGTTCAAGGACCTAGAGTTGCCACAGTTTCTTTTGTACTCCTGAAATCTTAAAAGATAGAAGAAAATTTTCAATGAGGTAACCAAGAAGTTATGACATTTGGCTGCTATGGATCCCTGAAAAAAGATGTATACTGTGTCAGAATGTGTTGATAATTCTGTCTAGGTCACAAAAGTTTAGAACTTTCCCCAGAGTACTTTCTATTTTTATAAGTTTAGTCTGTATGTAGTATCAAAAAGAAAAGAGTTCTTGTTTTAGTTTGGCAGTTTTTTGAATGTTTGACTTTGGTCTCCTAGAGGAAATGGAGGAAACTAGTTTCATTATGGACCTGATACAAACAGAACCAAGCCAAAACAAACAAATAACAACTTTCTGCACAGGAATTCCAAGTTCATTAAACAAAGATTTGATTTTCTCTTAAACCTGAGCAAGAAAAGTACTCTTTGAGCTATAGTGGTTCATTGGGTAATTTCTCTTTAGCCAATCTTATGGGCAAATGATGTCCTCCCAGAATTCCTATGTTGATATACTAACCCTGGTACTTCAGAATGTGATTGTATTATTTGCATATAGACTGCCTAAAGAGATAATAAGGTGAAAATGAGGTTATCAGCGTGGGCTCTAATCCAATATGACTGGCGTCCTTACAAGAAGAAACGTGGATGCAAACATCATACAGAAGGAAGACAATGTGAAGACAGGAAGAAGACAACTACCTACTTGCTTAGGAAGGAGATCTTAGAAGAAACCAAACTTGACAGCACCCTCATCTTGGATTTCCTGCTTTCAGAGCTATGAAAAAATAAATTTCTGTTGCTTAAGCCACCCAGTTTGTGGTACTCTGTTATTGGCAGTCTTAGCAAAGTAATATAGCCAATCAAGAAACACCATAAATTTTTGTCAGAGTGAAATGCTTGTAAAGAGGTAGATTTATACTTCAGAGTTGTTTTGTTCTCTCCTCAAAACAGAAGGTTCCTTTTAGTCAGCTGCCAGTATGTTAATGCTTCAGATTTACTCCACAGTATCCATTTGCTTAAGACCCTAAGACACATCCTCTAAGTGCAGGATACTAAAAATGTCAAAGCAGGAATCAGGAATATAAATTGAATGCTCCTACATATAAAAATAAAACATCTATAAAGTTTTCAGTGGAAGATTTTGCAAATTCTACATCACTGTTACCCTTTTTCTTACTACTTATAGATCAGAAATATTTAGGTTAATAATAAAATTAAGGAAGCTGGGACAGTAACATTTTTCCAAAATAATCAAAGCTATTATCACAGAATCTATTTTACACATATTTTTGGATTTACTTTTTCTTTCCTATGTATTTCTTGTTTCTTATATTTCTCAGTTTAAAAAATTTTTAAAACATTTGTGCTATTTTATAATTCATGAGGGATGAATACCGTAAAGTCATATTACTATTTCTCAAATCAAATCAATGACTGTAACATAAACTTTTTTATTTTTGGAGACAAGGTCTCATTCTGTCACCCAATGTCTGAAGTTCATGACTCACTGCATCCTTAACCTTCTGGGCTCAAGCAATCCTTACACCTCAGCCTCTCTAGTAGCTGGGACCACACATGCACACTACCACATCCTGCTAATTTTTATAATAGTTTGTAGAGATGTGGTCATGTCATGTTGCCCAGGCTGGTCTTGAACTCCTGGGTTCAAGTGATTCTCCTGCCTCAGCCCTCCAAAGTGCTGGGATTATAGGCATGAGCCACTGTGCCTGGCCTAATGTAAACTTTTTACAGGATATATGGAACGTAATTTAGCTGACTAAAGTAATGATATAAACCCTGTCTTTCCATACTTCAGATGCAGTAGCTGAGTAATTGCTAAAGATACATAAAAGTGCTATTCAAATAAGACCTTATATTATTTTTTAAAGTGTTAGTTTATATATAATCACTACTTTTTGAAAAAAATATATACAACTTTTCAAAAACTTGTCATATTTGCTTTATTTTTACCCTCACAACTATTTTCCCAGGTAGGTAAAGGATTATCATTTTCATTTTATAAAACTCTACAGAAAGGACATTGAACTGATTAACATAGCGGACTCCAAAATATGTGGTTAAAATGAAGTTAATATCATCAGGGATTAACTAAATTTATTTATTTATTCTTTAATTACACTCAGGTTTTCTACTGGTTAGTATACAGTCAACTTTCAGCACAACAAGAAACATACACTATTAATTTAGTATCTTTATTGGTTTCCACAAACTAAGATTAGTTTAATTTTTCCCATTTCTACTTCAAAGATTATATCAAAAAACACACACAGAAAAACTTTGAAGAATCAAAGGTAACCAAGGTTGAAAGTTAGGAACCTATTTTATAAAAGTTATAAATATTATAGACTATCAAATTAACATTTTTATTGTGGTATATAAAATAAAATTTTAAATTAACATTTAAAAAACATTAAAAATATGTTCTCACCAATATTAGGGTGCTTCAAAAGACGGCAGATTCTAGCTTCTCTTTCCAGTTTCTGATGATCTGTTTAAAAAAAAGGCAGAATAAGGCAAAAAATAACAAAACACAATAAAATGCATAACAAAATCACATAAGGCCTTTGCATTTACTCATCCTTTGATTTCATTTTGAAACAAGAATAATCCAAATTTAGAATTAAGTGAACAGCACATAGTTCAATATCGAATTTTATTTTACATTGACTTGATGTTTGACAGAGTGTAGTGTAAAATAGTGCTAAATTTACTCTTGGGGAAAATAGCAGAAATGGCACAAAACAATGCTATTCTTTCTCATCTTTACATTAAGTAAGTATTTTTTTTTACTTTTTTTTTTTTTTTATTTTTTTGAGACGGAGTCTCGCTGTCTCCAGGCTGGAATGCAGTCGTGCAATCTCGGCTCACTGCAACCTCTGCCTCCTGGGTTCAAGTGATTCTTTCACCTCAGCCTCCCGAGTAGCTGGGACCCCAGGCACGTGCCACCATGCCTGGCTAAGTTTTGCATTTTTAGTAGAGATGGGGTTTTACCATGTTGGCCAGAATGGTCTTGATCTCCTAACTTCGTGATCATCCCACCTTTGTCTCCCAAAGTGCTGGGATTACAGGCATGAGCCACCGCGTCTGGCCAAGAACGTATTGTTATAACAACTTTAACCCTATATAGACATACCAATTTAGAGCAGAGGAGGCATATATGGAAATTGGACTGCTAATAAAGTAAGTGCTAAATAAAGTTATTGTAGTTTATCCCTAATGGGGAAGTGTTCTCAGTTCAGTCACATGTTCTCTCAACCACTCTTCTTACAACTGCTGGTTCAACTTCCTAGGTATATGATACTCTTCCTAATATCAAAGATTTCCCCAAATCCCTAATTCCTTGCTTATCTTCACCTTTCTATGTTACTGTAACCATTTCTTTGAAGAAACGTGTCTTAACGTGTGTTTTAAGAATTATCTTAATTCTTACACAAGAAGAAACTTGTGTTGTAAGAATTATTTTAATATTCTTCTTTGATTTTTTGCTAGAGGTACATATACATATAAATATAATCAAAATCATTCACCAACACACAAAATAAATGGTAGAGAGAGAGACAAAAACATGGTAGAAACACATGTTGCTGTTAAGGGTAGCAGTGTATAGTGGTCATTAGCAGAAAACTTATACACAGAATATCTGATTTAAATCTTACAACAACCCTCTAAGATTGGCAATCTTATTATCCCTATTTTAAAATACAAATTCCAATAGTTTAACACCACTGCCTTGATTAATGCAAAGCCTCCAGCAATTTCATTCTATTTCTTTTGCATTATGATGTAACACATGTCAACACACGTAAGAATGTCAACGCTCTCACACCTGTAATCCCAGCACTTTGGGAGGCCGAGGCGGGTGGATCATGAGGTCAAGAGATTGAGACCATCCTGGTCAACATGGTGAAACCCTGTCTCTACTAAAAATACAAAAAATTAGCTGGGCCTGGTGGC